TTAGAGAACTGTGAAGTACTCATCCATGCTGATTTTTGAATTTGCTGTGTAAATAGAAGAACTTCGTTATCCACTTCAGTCGCTGAGTTTAGATCAGAGTTAAGATTAAGAGTGTTTTCAACATGCAGCCTAAAGTAATCCCAGTCAGTAGATCTATTTATTAGGTAAGGCTTCGGTTCATTTATGACTACACTTTTATTAATAGAGAGGTGCACAGGTGAATGATGAGAAGAGAGATCATATCCATTTTCTATTTGTAAGAGTTCTTTCGGTATTTTTTTAGTTATAAAAAAGTCAATCAGATCTGGTATTTTCGCTGGGTCAGTTGGCCAATATGTTGGGCTTCCAGTCGATAAGACATCACATCCTGTGGCTTGTATGGCTTTTAATAGTATGGCTTTTCTCGGCCCTTAGTTGTAGTTAATCGCGAACCCCAATGGACATGTTTAGCGTTGAAATCGCCGCCAATAATGAATTTATTTTTAAATTTAGAAAGGAAATTTATATATTGATCTGTACTAATAGAATGTCTTGGAGGACTGTAGACCGAAATAATTGATAATTTTTGGTTTTGTACTTTTATTGTAACAGTTGTGGCTTGAAACTCGCTACAACTGATATTTTCCTCTTCATAGTGACTGATGGTTTCCTTTATTATAATAGCACTTCCCCCTCGTGCATTGTTATTCGGGTGAGTAGTGTGGTAAGTTTCATAGCCTCTAAATTTTATATGTGATTCCCTCGTAAAGTGCGTTTCTGCTATTAGACATATATCGATGGACTTTTTGTAAAGAATAGTCTGTAGTTCGTTTTGTTGATGTAGCAGCCCATTTGCGTTCCAGAGCATAACTTTTATTGAAGACTGCATTACATACTGTGTTTGGGAAGGATCTGTTCTAGTTTACTTATCCGTTCATCTAAAACTTTATTAAATTTCTCCTGGTTTTGTAGCAGTTGAAGTACCAACTGCAAGGTTGAAGAAATTTCTCCAGGGTTTTGAGAGTTATTATTTGATTTTAGTGCTTGGGCATATGAAGGTGTTTCACAATTTTGTGTTAGTTTAGAAACTGGCAAATTTTTTATATATTCAGTGGCAGCAGAGTTGGGTTTATCTGGCTTACTACTTTGGTTATCTTTCTGAATGGTTTTGTTTCGCATCTTTTGTAGCTCTTTGGCTACAATACATCCGCGATAGTTAGCTGGATGAGATTCGCCACAATTGCAGCATCTTGGTAAAGTTTCTGCTGGTTTTGTACAGCTTGTTGTTGGATGCTTTCCCGTACATTTGACACATCTTGCCATTTCTGAACAGTAGTTCCTTGTGTGACCAAAAGTTTGACAATTTTTACACTGAGGTATTTGGTTTGGTCTTTTTACTGCTTCAATGGAGACAATAGTAGCTAATATTTTATTTATTCCATAAACCTTTTTAATGTCTTCAATAGACTCAAAGGTGAGCAGAAACATATCTAACGGCTCCTTTGTTTTCCATTTAAATTTCCGATCTGCACTTATGGCTTTGAGCCCTTGTCTCTGTAAGTCCTCGACAATAAGTTTAGGTTCACAGGAGTGATGCAGGTTTTTAACAATAACACGAATACGTCTTGTTTGTTTATCTTCATATGAGTACCAATCTATCTTAGCATTAGACAGCAACTTTGTAATGCTTCTGTAGTCATCCGCTTCCCTGGTATTGAGCTTATACTTCCCGTTATTTTTAAGCTTGAATGAAAAATCAGTTTTCGCAGTGTTTTTAATGTCTTCGTAAATCTTTATGCAATCAGTAACTCCTGATATCATTATTGGAGGGGGAGAATGCACTTTGGGGCCTTTAGTATTTAATAGAATTTCCGGTTTCGGATTGGGATTTGTATTTTTATCATATGAAACATGAAGCTCTGGAGAAGATTCAACTTTTCGTTTTTTATTCGGACGTTTTTGTTTCAATATCCAGTCAGTTTCTAACGCCAATTCTTCTTCATCAGTGTGGTACTGAACACTCGTGCTATCTAGTTTTGCATCAACAGCATTCTTATTAGCTTCTTTCTTTTGTGATAGTGTACTATTCTTTTCTGCTTTTAGTTTTTGATTTTCTTTTTTAAGACTTTCACAACTGATTTCTAATAAATTTATTTTTTCTGTTAAAAATTTAATGTTACGTTTTAACTCATTTAGCATGTTATCTTGAGTCTGATCCAAAGGCCTTTCATTTCTACATGAAGGGGATGGAATATTCCTCATGGCATCTTGCATCTTTTTAGGCTGAGCTATTCGCTATCATAGTTCAAAGCCTAAAATAAAGTTTATGTCGATGACAGATTTGAAAAATGTCTGGTTGTTTAAGTGATGTAGTTATACTGTAACGCACAGTTTTCACGAAGTAAACCAAAATTATGAAAACAATTATAAATAATTGAAAAAATTGAACAAAATATAAGAGTGTCACAATATATTTACAGTTCGTTTATTTAGTTATTTAAAATTTTTTAGGTTTATAAATAAATAAAAATTTATTTTTATTTAAGTTTTTAAAGGTACTTATATCTTACACTGTGGCAACGCCACATTTGCAATTTCTTACTTTCGTTAAGAAAAGCATATGCTGTCTCTATCAGCTGTTGAGCAAACAAAATTTTATTTTTGTGTTTTTTTTTTGCCTTTGTTTAATTTGCAAATTAAAGTTTAATTTTTTAGAATAAAAATTTTTAAATATACAAAACTGAACTTCACCTTTTAAAATCGGGCACCGTTTTGATAAATTTTATTTTATTTATGATCAACAGATCAAGTGTTTATAACTTTGAAATTTGAAATTTAACTTTTCGGATTAAAAACAATAGAAGTTGCTTAGCGATCACTTTTCGCGCGTGTTTTCACCCACGGTTCTACCACACCTCAAACAAAACCTGTATGAAAATTTAAATATTGTTATATATATATATATGTTTTATTAAAGTTATTGATTTGGATTAATTGAAGTCAAGGTTGGGGTTCGCCATGCCTGTTTGTTGTGATGTGATTTGCTTTTGGAAGTAAAGTCAATTACTATGTCATTGTCTTTCTTTAAGGGCGGAGGTGTTATGTGGATTTATTCCACATATTTGTCAAATTAAGTTTTGTCTTACTTTGTATCAAGACAAATAAAAGACAAAGCGCAATATCACAGTTTTGTTTAGGAATTTATCCTACACACAAAGTAACGCTTCCTGTTTACTCTATTTCAAGTGCATTGAAGCTTACTTACTGTTTATGCTGATTCAGCCATGATCACTGTAGTCAAGCTGCACACAGTATTCTTTGTTTTCCTTATGAACAATGTTGCGCTTATGGTTCCTCCTATAGGAATCAACTTACATACGACAAACACCACCGCTCTTATCTTCAGAATGCAAATCTCAGCATAATTGATTTGGTTTGGTTAGCTTTTGTTTGATTCTATTAGTTCAGTTCGAGTCAAGCCAACAAAACATCAACACGTTGTTTAAGTTCATAACAATCCCTTTTCTATTGACTCCATTTTCAAGACTGTTTTTTCAAGCGCTGTATAAATACAAATGTTATGTCCAGGCTGTAAATTTTTTATTTCATGGCATCCTCGTAGGAATGAAGGCCTGGAAAAATTTAACTTTAACGTGTTTCTCAGAAACAAATATATAGCAGTGGATTTATAATAAATAATTTGAGCAATATGACGTTCACTCAAATTCCAGATAGCTATAGCTCCTCGAAAAGGTTTAATCAGTATTTTAGAGATCAGCATTTCAGTAATATCCATTTTATCAATAAATTCAATTACTGACAAATTTGATTTTAATTGCCTTTTAAACTTAATTACTAATTTCTTCAAAGCCTTATTTTCTCCTTTTAAAGGACGATTTAATTCAGATTTTTTAATTAGTTTTTTCCGTAATAAAAGATTCCGGTTTTGATAAAATTTAACGTTCTTAATATTCCAAACTCAATCTATTAAGAAGTAGTTCCATTTGAGGTAAAATATATGCACAAATGTGCAATAAAAACATACATATTTATATACTGCAGTCTTAATGTCTCCAATATCACATTTGTACATACATAATAATTTTTGTAGTGCATCATTTTTTCCATAAAAAAAACAATATATTCTATTACTCATTACTCCTATGACATGGGCCAAAGTATCTGGAAATTTGTTTCAGGAAATTCTTTACCATTCACCTTGTTACTAATCAATGTATATTAATAAAATAGACAAATAAAAAAAAGATAGGCAAAAGAAACAGCCGTATAAAAACAAATGTGGGTTGCAATTAGTTTGAACTAATCATCATACCAGTTGTGACTGAATCGAACATTATTGCATGGGGTTGGGTGGTTTTATGGTATTATAAATCCACCAGCAAAATAAAGTGGATATTTCGTAATAAAAGTAAATTAAAGTTTAAATTAAGTTGGTAATTTAATGAATATATAAAAGAAGGAAAAACAGATTTCGTGAATTTGGGGGTATCTATGAATTTTTGAATATATTGGTCGGTCATTTGTTGTTATTATTTCGTGCCTTAGTTCATGAGTACAAGAAAGTTTGTCCCCTTCTTTGAAAAAAAAAATCGCTAAAGTCTTGTAATAAATTTGTTAGCGATTGCATCTCCTCCCGATTTAAATGATTTAGGTATAAATCTTTAATATCACTAAATTCATTAATTTCCTAGTCTTTATACGGGCTAAAGTTCTCGAAATGTGTGGTGGTTCCTAATATGTTAATAGATTTATTCTCTACGTCTATCTTAGCTTTAAGAGGGATGAGAAAATTTCGGCCTATTATTGCTTCGTAATTTTGGCTATTGAAGTTAATTACTTTCCATGAGTGGGTACTTGAAACATTAAATTCTCTAGGTATTGGAGTGGTGATTTTAAAATTTACTTGATTCATTCCATTTAAGGTTCTATACAATAGGGGATTTAAGAGTTTTTCTTCTGTAAAATGTTTTTCTAGAATGTTCGGTTTTATTATACTAGTATCAGAACCAATTTGCAAATTGAGGCGTTTGGGAAAAATTTAAGTCTTCCTGTAAATTGCCAACATCCATAGGTTGGGGTCCTGTTCCATTTTGACTTAATCTAGTGTATTGTGTGTCAACACTCAAGTGGAAATTTCTAGTCCGAATTGAGTTACCGGTTTTATTCTGATTGTGTCGCCTAAAATTATTGTTATAATTATATTGGTTGTTAGGTATAAACGGTGTTTGGTCTCTTTGTTGTGGCTGTTGGCGTCTATATGTGCAATTTAAGTTTCGATCATTTTGATGTGGTTGTTGTCGTTTGTCTGTGTAATTTGAGTTTTGATTATTTTGGTGTAGTTGTTGTCGTGTGTTGTTACAATATTGTGACTGTGATGATTTTTTACAGTCTATAATGAAAGTGAATCGTTCGTGGGTCATCTAGTACTTTAATATGTGTGTACTTTCTTATAACGTCATTAAGTGTATTATATTGGTCAAGGTATGTTCTTAACGGTATATCAATTTTTTTTATTAAAATATTTACTAAGTCTCTATCTACTCTATTTGGGTCATATATCTCTGGTTTATTATTATCAAATGTGTAAATTTTTTTAAGCTGTGATTTAGCATTTTCAAAGTAGTAAAATAAATCTCTTAAACTACTTACTTTAATAATACGGCATTAATTATAGATATCACCATACGTTGACCTCGGTCTGGAATGATCCATAAGCTTTATTTTAACTTGATCCCATGTTATAGTTGGTCCTAGTCCTCAGATGTAGTTGCCAGCGTCTTCTGTTATTTTTTAATTAATTATGATGGTCATAGCAAGTTTCATTAGTTGATGATTGTCTGATAAGCATAGTTCCATGACGGCTTCTACCGATGCTATAAAAGCTGTGGCATCATGATCCTTATCTAGACATTTGATTTTTCGGAACCATGTCAAAATATCCTTTTGTGCTAAAAACCCTTGTTGTTGTTGCATATTCTGCTGTGTGTGCTGTTGTCTTACTTGTTCATGGAGCAAAATTTGAGCTTGCTATTAAGTTTTCATTTATGTTGTGGTATATGGACGTTGTTCCATCCCCTTTTTTTACTTTAGTTTTCTTTTTTTTTATAGTTCACTATTTAAAAAAAAATAGTCTTTATGGTTTTTTTGCGTTTTTTTTTTTAATTCACTATATAAATAAAAATACTCGATGCAGTTTATTAACCTTTTTTCTTATTAATGTTCACTTTTTAAATTTAAAAAATTAATTGTTGCGATTTTTGAGCGTTTTTTTCCTTTTTCTTTTATTGTTTCACTTTTGTCTTATGAAAAACTAGCGTCGACTGCGCCAGATAAATTAATGAAGACACAAAACTTCAGTTATTTCAACATTTTTATTAAACGTGAATCTTAAGACTAACCTATATCTAACATATTTGCTTATATTTATAGAGAGGATTCGAAGTATCGAATCCTGATAAGACAATTCGTTGTTTGGTTAGGCCGAACAACGATAATAATATTTTTAGTTACAATGTTTAGTTAGAGATTGTAAAGTATAATAAGGTATGTAGTGATAATAGAATACAATGGGAACGTTCTTTGGTTAGGCTGAATAACGATAATAATATTTTTAGTTACAATGTTTAGTTAAAGATAGTAGAATATTGTAAAGTATAATGTAGATCTTTCGTTGTTTGATTAGGTCGAACAACGATAATACAATGTTTAGTAGGATGCAATGTAGATGTTTCGTTGTTTGATTAGGTCGAACAACGATTACAAAATATTTAGCATAGGGATAAGATAATAGAGTATAACTCGCGCGATCACGCAAAATTCGTTAAAAATTATTGCGAATGCTAGAAATGGTCAATACGGCAATCGCTACCTTAAAAAAAGTTTACTCATTGATTCATACTATTCAAGTATAAGATAAGTACTTATGAGTACTTATTGATATCTTGATCTCTACTTTATTCAACAATCGTTCACACTCTTGTGATGCTGATTCTTAACCACCGACAGACCACCGACAGTCATTAACGCAAATACTTATAAATCGTTTGTAAGATGAGTATTAAAGTACTGCATGCATGCTGAAAGCTTATTACATATATAATATGACTTAATATATTTATGAAATATAAAAAAAAATTTTTTTACAAAAATTTATTAAAAATACTATAATGGGTTTTTTTTTTACATTTTTGATAAAAAAAATATGGAAAAATATAATGCTCTATAGTGATTTTAGTTTGTTTTTTAAAGATAATATATAAAATATCACAAATTACAAATTTAGCATCACCTGACTTAATTCCTCTTTTTCAAGATTGTTGTGTTATTGATCTCTACTTAAAATTCATATTTATATAAAAATCTATACAATATATATAGAAACTGAGTACATTTCTAAGGAGATATTTTTATATTGGTTATAAACTAAATCTATTTCTAAACATTCCAAAAATTTCTCTTGACTCAAGAAGACACAAATATATATTTTTACCATATCATACATAAAAATATTTCCTAGGGATGGTAAATAAGTAATAATTTATTAAATTTAAATTTAAATAAGTAAATTATTTTATTACATCATAAAAAATTAAGGTCAAAGAAGAAAATTCTGCGTTCAACATATATAAAATATTTCTTTGCAAAAATAGAATTATTTAAAATACTCTCAAAGTATTGGAAATACTCTCAAATATTTGTTAATTTGATA